TTTTAATATTAATTTACAAAATGGTCACCCAACACTTAACAATAGCCTCTACCTCAAGAGGTAGAGGAGCCAAATGGCTGGCTCACTGCTGCTAACTAGCCGTTCATTTTTATGTTGTAGTTCAGCCTCTGACCACTAGTTGCCAGCCAAGCTGGCAACTAGTGGTCAGAGGCTGAACTACAACATAAAACTGAACAGCTGGCAGGAAAGTTGACATTTTAAACCTTCATAAAAAATCGATACAGGGCTTAAAAATATCAATACAGTATCGAGAAATGAAATACTGCGATATTTCAGAGTATCGATATTTCCTTACACCCCTAATTTAAACCCAACACTGACTGATCTATAAGCAGTTTTAACACACGCCCCCCTAACCTAACCTAAACTAACCTAACCCTAACAAAGACAAGTTATTCAAGTCTGACGCTCAACTAAAATTAACCTCTAAATATTAGGGCGTATAACGTTTAATTTACAAGCAAATACACACATTTATAAAACTTAAAATTAATATTTATGAAGATTTGTTTTTGTTTTTTTACATAAAAGTAAATAAGGACTTACCAACTTCTCCAGACACGGACACATGTGCACCAAAAAGTCGCCCTCTGAACCTCTCTCCATCCTCCAGAACCAAGGTTGCCATTTTCTTTCAGGTTAGCTGATGCTATCGATGCTAACTATTGATTTTCTTCAGCGGTCTCTGAGCTCTCCTGACGTCCACGTGAAGCTTCCGCCACAATCAGAGGGCTGCAGGTACAAACTCTGGATAAAAAAAGTGGACAAAAAAACAAACCCTGACGTTTAAAAATATAACCTGGAAGCGTCGTGGCGTATCCTGTGTCAGAATAAGAGCAAAAAGATAAAAAACGAAGGCTTAGTGAAAGACTTTGGTGGTTAAAAACACGAAGGGGATGCTAGCAAAAGGTTCCACGCGCGCCGCCAGCAGCGTGGAAGTCGGCCCGCGGTCTGCACACGAATGTTTGACGCATCAATGCAATCCATTTCCGGTGAGGATTTTCAAAATAAACTTTGTTGTTGTCTAAAATTCACCATAGTTGTCTTGTGTGACCAAAAGTCTTAATTAAACTGAAGTCGAATTTCAAAAATAAAATAGGGAAGTAAATAAAGACATCTATTGACTGACCCCCTTTATTTTTATYTTTATTTATTCTTTCTTTTTACAGCTGCAGCATGTAAAGACGCCTTAACATTTTTCTACGGACGATTTATCTGCAAGGAATCATTCAAACCCTCACAAGCGGACATGTCATTTATACTTTTACTTTGAAGTTAAATCTACTTGGTTCCGGTGTTGTCTTGAAACGTCACATACGTAATTCTTGGTCTAACCAGCAGGTGAATGTAAGGCAGGTTTGTGATGTGCGTAATAACAAGCTTTTTTTTWTATAAGGCCAATCTACTAGCAATAAATACCGTATCATCATTTAATAACTGTAAAAATAATAATAACATCTTGTTTGGTTTTATTTTGAAAGGTTTGTGGCTGGAAATGTTAAGTTCTGGAACACAGAATTGATTAAATTTAATTCTAAAGGATAATAATAATAGTAATTATGTTTGTATTTTTCTCCATGTACTGCATATCTGAAGAATAAATGCTGTTTTTCCGGGGATTCGTACATGGAAGGGGATGTAGCTCAGTGGTAGAGCGCATGCTTTGCATGTATGAGGCCCCGGGTTCAATCCCCGGCATCTCCAGTGTTTCCTTTTCTCTTATTTTGTCACGTTTTTATTTCTGGCTGGTGTTTGGACTCTTGAAACCCTGAATTTTGTTGACATTTTTATACCGTGTGACTTTGTAGGTTACCAGAAAATGTCCAACTAATAAGGAAAGAAGGAAACGTTCAAGGACATTCACGATATTGCTCTGGAACAGTCCCAGTGGAAAGTTTTCCTGACGTTAGTAGTAGTATTAGTAGAAGAAGTAGTAGTCCTGATGCATCTCAGTAATCCAGGTAAAAAATCAAAAAGAAAAAAATTGTGTAGGTCTTCTGGACGGGTTTTTCTC